GACATGGCAGTGAGCAGAGTGAAGAGTGGACAGGACCAGCTCTCCTCCCCATCCAGGCAGAAACACCATGTTTGTTGGCACAAAGAGCTACAGCCTGGGCAGATGCTCTGCAGAGGACAGTTCCTGAGTGGTAACATATGTGTCCTTAGAAGTTGCATTTGGCTGAGTGGTTAAGGCACTGGACTTGAAATCCAGTGGGGTTTCTCTGTGCAGGTTCATTTTCTGTTCACAGCAAGGGGCTTGTTTTCTCAGTAGGTTTCACTCAGTGCAACAAACCAGGCAGTGGGCAGCACCTTCCTGAGTTATCAGGGCCCAGCTCCCCACCCCGGTTGCATACATGTGCTTTTAGGTGTCTTATGGCACAATAGTAGCACATCTGACTCCAGATCTGGAGGATGTGCACTTACAGCACACTGGGGTCACTTTCTCACCTGAAAGCCAGGTAAGAAATTCAGGTTTGGGCACAGCTCCTCAAGAAAGATGTAGACCAACTAGCCCAGAGGAGAGTGACAAAAATGATTAGGGGTATGAGGAAAGTTTGGAAGAACTGGAACTATGTAGTCTGGAGAAAAGAAGATCATGGGGAGGGACCTGATAATAAATTTTTCTAAATGGTTATTATAAAGAGAAGGGCAGGACTATTCTTTGTGTCCACAGGGGAAAAGACCAGAAATAATGAGTTTAAATCACCACAAGGGATTTAGGCTGGATTGTAGGAAGCTAGACTATAGTGGTGGCAGATGATAGAACAGGAGCAATGGGCTCAAGGTGCAGCAAGGGAAGTTGAGTTTAGATGGATGGAAAAACTCTCTCATGGGGAGGGTGGAAAAGCACTGGAACAGGTTACCCAGAGAGGTAGTGGCATCTCCATCCTTGGAGGTTTTGAAGACCCGGCTAGACAAAGCCTTGGCTGGGATAATGTTTTTGCAACCTGAATCACATGTCAAACTGCAGAACCAAATGGGCCCCAGTTTACAACCCCCATGGGCCAAGTTTTATGAGGATTCTACTGACCCAAGCAGGAATAGTCTCCTGCAGGGCAAAGGATGTATTGGTTCACACTTACCCCACCCCCAGGCTCGTTTGGTCTCACTGTACAAATTCCGAGCCACCCCCGTGAAATCTCCAGGACATGAGGTGCTGAGGACTGGCCATCCCTGGCTTAAGGATGATTTAAAAATGGGTAACAGCTAGGCTAGAATCATGCATGCTTCATGGTGGCCTCAATGCCCAGCTCTCTATCTGGGTTTGTCTCCTCTGTCTATCGCCATGGGATGTGCGTTTCCCACTATCTCAAAGGAGAGCCCACTGAGGGGACTATAATTCTTCCTCCTCCCCAGCTGCCTGGGTGTGCATGACTAGCCCACCTTTCCATGCTAAGAGATTGTTGCTGCCATTGTGGGAACACCATGCTACAAGGCTAGCATTTCACTGTGCAGGCGGAAAGCTCTGTGGTCATTCTCACCTCCTCCTCCTCCGGAAGGAAGGAAGTGCCAGGGCCTTGGACCAGCTGCCAAGAGAGCACTCCCTGCTTGCAAGAGTTTAACCCGGAGGTTGCTGGTTTTAGGGTTCCAGGGGATGTAGTGGATGAGGGTGCTTGTGGGTGCTTAGGGAGAACTGTGCTTTTAGGTAACACAGCCCCGTGCCACCCCATGCCACAAAGAGTAGCATCACCTCTTATGGCACCGGCAAAGAGAATTCCTTGTTATTATCCCATCCACGTAAGCCCTGTATGACCAGCATATATACTGCCCATTACAGGGAGTTAGAAATAGGTCTCAAAGCCCTTTGCTATCCCAGCTGGATTGATTATCTAAGGAGAGATGAGAGGACAAAGGGGGTGGGAGAAGAAAAGTCCACTGTGAGCGCACGTGGGTCTGAATCCTGGAGTCTGCCCTCTCCTGGGGCCAGCTGCATCTCTGGTGAAGCAGACAGGTGACTAAGTAGGGGTACTTTTTTGGCTTGATGCAGGGTGACTTTTTGCCAACCATGGTTAACCAGTGTTAAGAGAAAGCTTGCAGCTAGACCACTGGGCACATGCTGACTCTAAGGCCCCTGGCAGAAATTACAGTTAAGACATGATTAATTGGCTAAACTCTCCAGTAGTGACCTGGCCACATGTTCATTCAATTAATGGCGCAATCAAATGAGGAATAAGCCACAAAGTTATTACACAAAATATGTGTCCTAATGGCAAGTTAGTGAGGCTCTTTGTGCCCTGTGTCCATGCACACCTCTGAAGGGAGTGTTTGGCCTCTGAACACAGAGCAAGAGGCATGTGGGCACGTCTCAGGATGCATAAGTGTTGAATTGGCAGAGCCCTGTCAGCCAAATAGTACTAGAGTGGTCATGATGCCTCACCTCCTCCCCAGCGCAGACACCTGGCGAGGTCGTTGCCAGTTCCCAGCGGTAGGATGGCCACAGGCGGGTGCTTCGGTAGGTTCAATTTGTCTGCAGCCCAAACAGAAACAGGTGTCAGAGGCTCTCTACAAGCAGGCAGCCCTGGGACAGAACCCAGTCAGCCACCCACCTGCCCAAAACAGCACGGAGGCTGGAGAGGCAGCTTAAAGGACAATCCTTCCTGAGGCAAACTGAGCGATTCTCTTCCTTTGTGGCCTCAACTCAAGGAGGACAGGTTGCAGCTGGGCACTGGGCTGATCACACAAGAGGCAGGTGAGGCTCAGGACATGAACAACACTACAGTTTCCAGAGTGCAGAAGGTGAGCTCAGGGAGTGCACAGACCATGTAGAGGGATGGGCACATGCAGGTAGGAGCAGGCTTCCTTGGCTATGGGGGCTTCCCTGCAGAAAACCCAGCTTTCACACAGCAGAAGGGAGATGCGGATAGGGAAGGGAGGGAAGGCTGAAGAGCATGAATGGGACATTCCCATTCATGCTCTTCAGCCTTCCCTCCCCTCCCTACCCACATCTCCCTTCTGCTGCATGATATTCCTATTCATGCTCTTCAGCCTTCCCTCCCCTCTCTACCAGCATCTCCCTTCTGCTGCATTGGTGGGACTGAGCGGCCATAGCAGAGAATAAAATAGAGCCATAAAGCAGAAGATGAAGCTGGGAGCAGGAGGCAGGCATGTGTAGCAATAAGGCAGCAGGAAAGCAGCTTGAGGGCAAGTAGGAGACATGGAAGCTCAGGAGGAGAAGACGCCCCTCCCTGCGTTCACTTGCTAGTATTAGGGGCTGGATTAAATCTCAGCTAAACTGGCTGACATAAGAACCAGCTGATCTCCTTTAAGGAATGAGGCACCTAAAACAAAATTAGCCTCTACCCAAAATGCAGGCACATCTGTGCACTGAACACAGGCAGGCAAGGGCAGAGAGGGCTCTCTGGGTATTGCTTGGTGGAGATGCATTTACTTGTCTCTGTGACAGAAGCAGGAGGAACAGCAGAGGAGCTGAGACAGAAGCACCAGAAAGCCAAAACTAACACTGGACACGTGGCTTGGAGAAAAAGTAAGAGGGAGAGAATTTAGGTTAAGTGCTGGCTGGAAAGGGGCTTAGAAGTATAAGCAAAGGACCCGTCTCCTGCTGCTTGGTGAGAGGAACAGGTCTTTATAAGAACATTATTTGAAAAATACACAGGATTACATCAACCACACACCTGGCTCCATCAACAATGACACCTCCTAAGGGAAATAACCCACTCTGTCCTGAATTTTGGCCAATTGCACAAGCAAGAAAGGGATAATAATAATTCTTAAGTCCTTCTCTCGGTGCAGGTCTGCTCCAAGGTCCAGGACAGCTCCACTGTAAGGTCTCAACCAGTTTTCCAGGCCTGTGGTCTGTGAAGTCATAACTCAGCAGTATGGATTCTTAGTTACCTATGCAGTCCAGGATCCATCCGACCGTCCCATCCCCTCCACAGGCCAAAACACGAAAGTCTGGGGTGTCATGGAAAAAATTCAATCTGGAAAATGTAAGAAAATGGAGAGAAAGGAGTTTGTAGTTGGGAAGGTGGGGGAAGAAGAGGAGGAGAGGTGGGGAAAGGAGCAGAAAATGGAGGGGAGGCAAGAAGGAAGGGGTGTAGGAGGCTGGGGACTGTTTAGTAGCTGAACAGTGCATCTCCATACCCAGGAGTTGGTCCCCCTCGGTCCAGGTTGTACACTTGTCTGGGGTTGAGCAGATAATGGAATTTCCGAAGAACTCTAGGAAACAAAGAGTGAGAGGATCAGAAGAAAACTTTCCTGAACGCAAATAACAGACATGCAACTGCCTTTCTGCCCCTGCTGGTTCCTCTACTCTACAGAGACCGATGGGGCCATCGGGGGCTCTCTTGTGCATTCTCCATCCTTATACCTTGTGTGGGACTCCTAGTACTGTACACCCCCCACCAAGGCAGAAAAGGTTGGGGGCAGCATCCCAGGGAATCCTTGGTGGGAATTTAACTGCAGAAGCATTCCTCACTTGTACAAACACTTTCAACCACCTCCACTTGAGTTTGCTGATGAAGCATGCCCACCTGGTTCACAGCAGCAAAGGCAGCATACTTAGTGATCTCTCACATCTGAATTTCCCTTCTAAATGCATTACAGATATGAAGGAATCATCTACCCCTGTGATATAGCTAAATGCTGGGAACTCCTTTGTGAGGACGGGGAACTGAGGGGTGGAGTGAGCTGGCCAGGCTTGCAGAGGTCTCTGCGGTGTGGTGGTTGTGTGATCAAGACTCAGGATGGGGGCTTCAGAGTTCTGGGCTGAGCTCCTGGTCTTTGGGTCAAGCTGCTGGCTGGAAGGGACATAAATCCCCTTACAATTCAGGGTCTTGTAGGGCAGAGCTTTCTTGTCTTGTAGGGTAGGGTCACTGTATCTGGTTGTTTGCTTTTTCCTGTGCTCAAAAAAGCAGGGCTTTCAGTATTCTTGCAAATAAATACCAAAGAAGCCTGATTCCATCACCAATTTCTCCCAAGAACTAGAATAACCTACAACAGGTTGGAAGAAAGGGGCATCAGCTATCAAGCATTGGCGTGAGGAGCACAGCCTCTGAATCAGAGCTGCCTGGACCTTCAGTGGTGGAGGCTGCAAGTGAGAAGGAGGGACAGGGGAAAAACCCTGGTCAGACCCAGTCATTCTCCCTTCCAGCATCTGCTCTCTGCCACTGTGTGGCACAGGATGTACCCCCACCTCCTTGCCCACTGCCAGGGCCCATGGTGGCTCTTGGTGACTAAAACTGCAGGGGGAATACAGGGTGGGAATGAGGTAGACAGCTCTGCCCTGAATTGCAAGTAATCCTGTGGGTCAAAAGGGGTTACACTAGTGTCAGGAGTGAACCTGTGAGCAGGTAGGGAGCGAATAACAGTGCTGCTCAACCCAAAAGCATTAAAACATGACCAGAAGGAATGGAGACAAAGCAGGAACACAGAAAACATCACAGCAGCAAGTCGCCTAGGTTTTAGAGGTTCCCCAGAAAGAGCCACGTGATGACTGGCAGGCAGAGGTGGGTGAAATCTCTGTTGGAAAAGGCACTTCAGAGTGCCCAGACAGACCAGGAAGCTCAGCTGCAATAATCCCCATCTGACCTAGTGAGACACACTGACCACTGCACAGCTGTGGCCCAGAAGCTCTTCCTCACAATAGGGAAGATCAAGAAATCTTTGGCCATCCTGGCACTTGCTGAGAGAGGTGAGCTGCAGCCAGGACTTAGAAGCCTGGCATTCTGCTCCGTAAGGAAATCTAAGGTCACAGATCAGCTCAGACACCCCAATGTGGGATGGGCCCTGTCTGAGGACATGGGGTAACCCACTGAGGCCCAGAGGCCCAGAAAGGAGAGGATGGATTGCTCCAGTTCAAACATTACAAAAACACTCAGAGGAAAACTCCCAAAAAGCAACTTTCTATGTAATAACATTCCACTCAACTCATTATTTCCCTCTGTTCAGCATGGGTGAGGACACATCTGGACTCCTGTGTTCAGTTTTGGGCCCCCCACGACAGAAAGGATATGGACAAATTGGAGAGAGTCTAGCAGAGAGCAATGAAAATGGTTAGGGGCTGGGGCACATGACTTATGAGAAGAGGCTGAGGGAACTGGCCTTATTTAGTCTCAAGAAGAGAAGACCGAATAGCAGTCTAATAGCAGTCTTCAACTACCTGAAGGAGGGTTCGAAAGAGGATGGAGCTGGACTGTTCTCAGTGGTGGCAGATGACAGAACAAGGAACAATGGTCTCAAGTTGCAGCAAGGGAAGTTTAAGTTGGATATTAGGAAAAAATTTCTCAGTAGGAGGGTAGTAAAACACAGGAACAGGTTACTCAGAGGCAATGGAGTCTCCATCCTTGGAGGTTTCGAAGACCCGGCTAGACAAAGCCTTGGCTGGGATGATCTAGTTGAAGATGGTCCTGCTTTGAGCAGGGGGTTGGACTAGATAGTCCCTTCCAACTTAGAAGTCCCTTCCAACCCTCATTTTCTATGATTCATCACAAGCCAAACACATGGCTGGGAGATGGGAGAGGAAGAAGGGTTTCTAGCAGTCAACATGAGCCACTCAGATCCAAGGCTGCTACAGGTAGTTGCCCAGACCTGGAATAAGCCCTTTGAATTTGGCTTTGGAGCCAGCCAAGGATCAGGGCTGACCACAGCACAGTAAAGAGCCTGACTGAAGTGGCAAGAGACCTGAAGGGACTCATATTCATGGCATACCCAGATACCCCCAAGGAGAGACTGGCATTGGACCAGTGTATAGATGTTCAACTGAACTTGGACTTGCAGATCAGGGTCAAAGGAAGGAAGCCAACAACCTCCCTACACCAAGACTGTGAAATGGGGCATGGAGCCAGCCAGAGCCTTTCCATACAGCAGCACATTAGAAGGGGAAGCAAGTAAGATGGAAACTGATAGCCACGAGCCCTGTAAGCACAGCTCAGGGCCTAGTCATTATGATGGCAAATGGGATTCTTATCCAGGTCATCCCCTCACTGAGTAGTGAATAAAAGTGATCAACTCCATTTGTAAAGAAAGGGGAACTGACCACAATGCTGAAACTAAAAGAGGCAGTTCAGCTGAATGCTGACACTGAAAAAACTGACCATGAAAGGAGGACAATTACAGCTATGAAGCAGGCCAGGAAAGAATGTTAGAAGCTTTGAATGTTACATTATAATTGAAATTCTCCCAGTATGTGAAAGGGGTCTCGGGAGGAGATGCTTAGCTGAAGGGGCAAAGCCTGGAGGGACAAGGAGGAGTCAGGGTATTTTTCGAGCTAGGAGCTTGGTTACTGGATGTATAATAGGAGCTGAAAAGGCAGAGCAAGTAGCAGGCACTGGCTTGGACAGAACAGTTATTCAGCCAGACACGCCAGGAGTGCTGGACACAGGGGATCCAGACCCAGCCACCTCATGGTCTCAAGGAGAGACAACATCTGCAGAAAGTGCCTTTCTGCACAAACTAAGAAAATCAAGTTTGAAAATTAAAGCTCTAGAATTTGAGTAAACCCATCTGGGAACCCAAGATAGAAGATGAGCTAATGACTGGGCTGGATTTCCTAATGGCTAACAAATGTGTCCTCACTGCCAGGAAAGGCATTGTACAATTCACTCTACAGTAATTCTCTTTCAAGATGTGGCCTGGGTGAAGTCAAAAGTTTACAGGTAACTGGCTGCATGGAGCAAGTTGTCTTGCTGCCAGAGTTATGAATCATGATGATGACTACATCCAGTGGTAACTTCCCTGCAAAGGACAGGTGGGGACTGACCAAAACCCTGGGTCTTGGGAGAGCTGCTAATGTGTCTGTAGATCTGAAATAGGAACTTATCCCTGTCAGCCTGAAAAATGTTTCTGAGAAGCAGAGAACAGTGGAAAAAAAAAAGGAACTATGGTTGCAACATGTGTGCCAGGTGGTCTGGTAAATGCTGGCATAGACAAAACCATGGGAGGGAATTTTCACTGACAAAAAAAAAAGAAATCAAGGCCATGCAAAACTCACCGAGACCCTGACGCCCACTGAATTGATTGGGCTCTGCTCTGACCACAAAAAGCCCATGTGTGAGTTTGCTGATACTGCTTTAGATGGGTAAGAACGGCACTGCAGCTGTCAGCAAAGCATTCCTTGACCTTCTCAGAGTCATTGTGGTCTTCGCTTCTTCCAAACTCCTGTCATACTGGATTCAGATGCTTCGGTTTACCAGTGGGTCAGAAGGGACACAGAAACCACAGATACTCTACAGATGGATAGGGAAAATGGGGGAGTGGGACTCACTGAGAGAGACCCCTCCTACCTGCTAAAAGAAAATCAGGGAGTGGAAACCTTCAAAGAGGTCCTGATGGGAGCAAAAAAGTCTTGTACTGAGGACCCCAATAGGACCCTGTGACTGTAAACTGGGAGGTCTGTATCACTTCTAAGCAATGACATTACATTTCTTTCCTTTGCATCTGGGATGAGTGTTTAGGGTCCCAACATTTCTGGCTCCATGAAGCAACATTAAGTCAGGAGATGCGGGTTGTACTGAACCCGTTGGAGACCAGCAAGTTGAACTGCAGCACTTCCACTGGGATAGCTGTGGGAAGTCACTGCACTCCCTTAGGGAAGCAGAGGGCTGAAAAAACAGCAGCCTCCTAGCCCACAACACAAGGCACACGTACTCTCACCACATCCAGACTAGAGCAGAGGTGAACAGATGCTGCTGTACACTGTTTTGGCACAAGGTCTAGAAGGGAGATAGCTCAGATGCAGAAACAGGGACTGGGAAGACAGCCTGACCCTGCATGGATGTGTGGTGCTGGGGTAATCCAGAAAAGCAGGCTGAGAGCAAGGGAAACTGTCTCTTGGTTGCTTTATTCCACCATGCTCAAGTAAACTAGATTTTGTATGTTCCTATAAACACGCAGGAGGACAGAGACCTTTCCCTGTCCCCAGCTCCTCCCTCAACTGGAGTAATACACAATCCCCCAAATTCTGGTCAAAATGAGTAGCAGGGGACCAAACCCAAGGATCGTTGAGTCCTGCCTCTGCCCTACTCTAGATGCTTCAAAGGACAGTGCAAACCCCATGCAATGAGCAGCTCTGGGCTACCCTGCCTCAAGAAGGTCTCATTCTAACCCCTAATGGTCGGGTGCTGGTTGAGAGCAGCATTTCCCAAACCTTCACACCTCACCACAGTAAATTGGGCACACTCATGCCCCCTACTTTAGCCAGTGCTGCTGCCTTCATTACCACTTCTCCTGCAGTGGTGGTGGATAGAGTAGGGGGGCACAAGACTGGCTGGTGTAGGGGGACCACCAACTGCTGTCATGGTTTTCATGTGCCCTTCCAAGAGCCTTTCATGCACCTAGTTTGGGAAATGCTGGCTGAAACCTGGGCATAAGATCCTGTATCCTGCCCACTGCTCTCATGGGCACTGACTTCTGTGGCCCTGGGGACTCTTCCTCTGCAGAGAACTGCCCAGTCCCTCTGCCTTCTGCCTGGCAGAGGCATCAGGAGGCACTTCCCACATGTGCGCTCTGGCTCTAAGTGATGGTGCTAGGCGGACAAAGCCAGAAGTAGACCACAGCATGCCTGCTGCTCATCACAGAGCCCTTAATACCTGATCCCATCTCCAGTCATGCCCCATGCCACAGACCCCAGGACAAAAGTGGTGGCCTCAAGGGGTGGTCACTGATAGTGCCATCCCCTCTGGGAAGACGACAACGTACCTTTCTCCCTGTCTCCCTCCACTCTTGGGGTTCACAAACACCAGCAGCGGGTGTGTCCCAGGCCGGGGGCTGATCTGAAATGCAAAGAGCAGAACAACCACCCTCCTTAGAAAACATTCAAAAACTGTCCTTCTGTGTGCACAGGGGAAGGAAGGAGGGCACTCAGGGGGGCACCCAATCTCCTTCAAAGGGTAAGTAGGAGCCATGCAGCCTTGTCAGACTGGATGGTCCACATTTCTAGCACTGGAGGAGTAATCTCATATGAAGGAAGAGGCCAGGGAGGGACCTCAAGGGCAGAGTCATGGCCACTGTTCTACACAGACAAAAAACTGTCTGGTACACGATGGGAGCAGGGAATGCAATGCCAGGCCCATGTTCTGCCGGTTGATATAGCTACTGTGAACCCTGTGCATTGCAGTAGTGGCTAGCCGCTGCAGCCTCTCTGGGCTCACCACCCTGCAGACACCACCCTGCAGACACAGGCCAAAGAGAAGGCCCATCCCCTGGACAGACTGCCATTTGAGGACAAGACCAGAGGAGCAAAGGAAGGCAACCAATGGATGGGAAGGGCAAGCAGAAGCAGAGCAATGATATCCGCCCTAGTAATCAGCTCTTTATTGTCCTTTCTGGAAATACAGCCTCAGGAGCAATGGGTCACATGGTAGGCAAAAAAAGGCGGTTGTTGGGAAACAGTCTCACCAGGACAGGTTCACCAGGCCAGACTGTCCCTGCCTTGGTTTCCATACCCTGAGGCTGGCAACTCCTGCTCTGCTACACCACAGTCACCAGTGGAAAAGCAATGCTGAAGGCATGTAAATGGTAGCTCCTCAGTCACAGCCTCTTCTGCCATTAGCCAGTGCAAGAGAATTCAAGAGGGACTCTTGACACCAGGCCTCTTGCTCCACACCCAGCAGGGGCACGCTCTAAAGCAGAAAGCAGCTCTCAGCCACCTACCTGCAAGCCTTGCCCATCCACGGTGGTAGAATTGAACTTGAAGGTCTGGTTGGCATCATCTGGACTGGTGCTGGCAGGAGAATCGCTGTCTGATTTCCTTGAATGGGGCTGTCTTTCCTTTTAAAGGGGAGAAAAGTGAAAAATAGCTAGCACTCGGCTGAAGACCAGCAGAGAGATGCATTCATTTGTCACACCTGACCCCCTAGGATAATTTCAGCTAGGAGAAAGCTACTGGTGCACCCGGTATCTGGAAGCTTTCACAAAATGAATGGTGACCATTCTATAGGCAAACAGGCATAAGCATCACAGATGCACTCACTGAGAGCTGTGGCACAGAGGCAGAGAAGCATGGCATAACTGTAGCCTTGACTGCCAATTTCCCAGTAGAACAGCAGCCTCCCAGTACGGCTTCACTCGCATGTCTCTTTCCACCCTATTGCACACGCTGCCACCACCCACAGAGCAATCCCTGCGTGTCCTAATGTCAGCAATGACTGGCCACTGTGACACCCCATTATAACAGGTCATACGTGTGTAGGTGGAAGGCACGTGTGCATGGCTTAGCTTAGCCACGTATGTCACAAAGTGGATCCAAGCCTTTGAAAGCCACAACAGAAGTGGACAGCAGATGTCTGCCTGCGTTTTGATACCATGCTGTGTATTCTTAACCCATCGTTGCAGAGCATGGGAATACTTTAGTGGCATTTTCAGTCTTACCCTTCACCACGCCTGGCAGTTCTTTGAGGTGGGCTTTGATGGCGGTGATGCCACTGGCATTGAATATTGTGGAAGGTCGGTGGTTCTAGTGGGTTAATGCTAGTCTCTGGGTACTGCTATACTAGGGATTGTGTTGTGAGGAAATGCCCTTGTGCCAGCTTGGCTTTGAATTAAGAAAGACGTCTGGGGCAGAAGAGGGGCATACTTATGAGGGGGCACGCGCACATGTATGTGCAGCTATCTGATGGTGTCTATAGCGTACAGAGCCCTTGTCACATGAGCCCCTATAGGCCTCCTTACCAGAACAACTGGGCAGATGTAGGAAGGCAGCAAGATGTGGTCCTTGAGCTGCCCTCCATCACACTCTGGCTTCACATGAGAGGCACATTTGTTATGAAGCTGGATGAAAAGAGAGAGAGAGAGAGAGGAAAGGGGATGTGAGCATGACTGCCTCCCCTCCAAGCACCCCAACTCTGGGCTGTGGTGAGGGAATCATGTGGAGCTGAGCAGCAGAGAAGGCCTGCACAGTATGTATAAGCACCAAACATACCAGCTTTCCACAGGAGGTCTGCATGATGGGGGCCTTGGGCTTGGTCTGATGCCAGAGGAGCAGTAATATGTAGCCTGGTTATTCAGGCACCATGACTTCCCAGGCAGGGGCTTCCAATCCCCCTCAGCATTCATGGGCCTGAATCTCCTCCTTCCTGCTCCATTGTCTGCTTTCTTAAAACCTCTCCCTATTGCCTTGGTTATTTTCTACCTCAGGAGAAGAGCGCCCAGGGCTGCTTTAGTCAGGGGCCATGGCACTCACACTACAAGGCTCTGAGAGGGCTGTGGCCTGCAGGAGGGAGAAATAAGAGCAAGAGCAGATAGCTGCCAAAGCTGCCTCCTCTGTGCTACCACCATCTACTTCCAGGCACAGAGGCACGGGGCTGCAGGGACAAGGAGAGGAAGCCATCAGCTCAGAGCAGTTCTCAGGGGATGGCCCACAGCACCTTTGGGGCAGAGGGAGAGGGGACAGGAGGGCCTGGTGTGGCTTTGGGAAAGCTGTGCCGTTCCCTTTCTAGGTGGACTAGTGCAGGAGGAAGTTTGCAGTGTGACATCCCAGCCTGGTACAAGGGAGCTGACTGAGTGCCAGCATCACCACCATTCCCAAGGGCACCTCTCACGGCTCATTTATCACCCAAAGAAACCCACCGGCAACAGCTGGCTGGAGAACCACGGGAGACTCTTGCCTCCTGCCACACCCCTGACTCTCAGTGCTCCCTTGTAAAGGCAGAAGCCAAGGCCTTTTTTGGTGCTGCCTAAGGTAAAGTTACTCACAGTGTGATACCTGGAGCTCCTCCAGATGTGCCCGTTTCAAGGGACCCAGGCCAGAGACTTTGCAACTCTGAGCATTTAAACTAGTCACCCTCATGCCCCAGCCATGGGCACAGAGGACAGAGAGGAACCAAGTTGCCACTCCAGTCCTTTCCCCACTGTGATCCCCACAGCAGTCAGGATCCTTGACTGAGGGGGCAGAGGGCGGAGAGTGGAGTGCTTATGGGCATACCGCATGTCAAAGACCTCCAATCACTGCACCAGCAGGTAAGTTTTCTCTTCTTTGTGTGCTTGTTCCTGCACACGTTTTAATGAGGCCGGCACCAGGGCCAGGGGAGGGTGTAGAACTGACTGCATTAACTCCTACCACAAGGGGCACGCAGTGCCGATGCTTGTATTAGTGCCTTGTGCTTGAGGAAGCAGGACTATTTCCCCATGTGGCTGCTCTACACAAAGGAAGAATGTGGATATTTTTCAGGGGTCTGAAGGCCACTGAGGTCACATAAGCTTTACTATAATAGGAGTCAACTATTCAAGAGGTCATGGTAGAGCTAGATACCAGTTTAGAAGTCGTGGTGTGGAAACTAGTTTCAGACCTTGCTCTCTCAGCAACAAAGACTGATAATGTAGGGTATCATCTGAAAGGCTTAATCCTATGTAAATAAAAAGTTAAAACTCTTTAGGAGCATCTATTGTCTCTTCCCCCTGGGAATGAGGTTTTGGGGGAGTAAGCCAAGAAACAGCATATCTCTTCCTAATGTTGTTTACAGCTGGATGTGCAACCAACTCAGTTAGCTGCAGACATGGGCACCTCAAACCAAGAGCACAGAGAGGAACTGGAATGGCAACCAGTTCAACATTGCACTACATGACCCTGGTTTGGTGTGCAACCCTGGTTAGCAGCATGCAGAAACTGTTAGCAAAATCTCTAATCTTGGGTGCACACAGCACATAGCTGTAGGCACAAGTATTGGTGCATCAGGCCACGGGACCTGCCAGACCTTCTTTTATAAGTGTCACTGGGGCAGCAGAAGCATGTGGGTTCCCTGGGACAGTTGCCTTCATTCTCTTCCCACTGTACAAGCCTTTCCTCAGAGTCACGTGTTTCAGTTGCAGTGAGCCCAGTGGTCACTGCCTGAAGAAATGCAGGACCAAAAGCTTCTTTAGTCCCTCCACTGGCCCAGATCTACTGCAGTGGCAGCTAAGTTACGCATGTTCCATGATGAGCCCGTCACTGGCTTCTCAATGGAGACTCCCAGCTCAAGATGACATCAGTTTGTATAACATGGGCCCATGCCCATGAGGAACTGGATTGACCCAGGTCACATCCACGAGGCCAAAAGCTTGCTTCCTCCTTGCCAGTGGCAACAGGCTTTGGAATGATACAGACTAGAGCTGGATGTAAGCAGGTCACTGAGAAAAAGAAGCCTTTGCAACCTAATGACCTGGGCCCTTCCATCTGGGGCAGGACTTGGTGATCTTCTGAGGTCCCTTCCAGCCCTGATGTCTATGAAAAAAAATCTCCCCAGCACCCCTGGGTGCCAGCAAAGCCCGCGCATCATTCACTCCACGTACTCACTGTGATTTGGCACCATACACAGTGTAGCCCGGTAATACCCTGGTAGCATTTGATACTTTTGTGGCACCGGTCACACTTGACTGGGGAGTTGCCCTCAATCCATGTGTGCTGCATCACCTAAAAGCACAGGAGAGAAAAGAAAGAGGGATGGCACTATGCACCCAGACTGAGGGCACGGCCAGCCTGTGGCACCCTTGGTACCCTGTACCAGCCCAGGACCTGAGTGCTCTCACTGAGTGGCAGTGAATGGGTGGGGACTGCAGTCTTGGGCTTAGATCATGTCCTAAGGAGCAAGTGTGACAGACTAAACAGAATAATGAGGACATATCAGAACAAGATTGCACGGTGTGTGTCCTGGAGGAGTCCATGAATCCAAAGCTCTCAGAGGACACTAGAAAACTTGGGATAAAGGGTTCTGGACAGTGTGATAGGCTGCCACTACTCCTTTCCCTAGACATTAGAGGATGTTGGCCTGCTTTACCCAGCAGACAAGTGGGGAGCAACCCAGACATCAGTGGATGCTGTCCTGCTAAATGTAGCTGCTCCTCAGAGGCACACCTGCCCACCACAGGAAAAGCCCAAGGTTCTCTAGGCTTGGGGAGCCTCAAGCAAACAGCAAACCACAGGAAAAGACAATCCCCACAGCTCAGTGGTGGCCAGGGGCTGGTTCCATGGAATGATGCTCCAATATTTAAGTCTGCTGGTGGGCACCTGGCTCCATAGTCACCCTCCCTACAATTCATTCTGCCTGGGTTTGGACCTTCAAAGGTGGAGTCTGTGCTAAACCTGATGTGAGCCTTTCAGCCCCTTAAGCACTGATGAGAGCCTTTCAAGATCTTAAGCAACTCCACTGGCCACAGGTCAGCTAAGAACCCCACTGAGGAAGACCATGGCTTCCTAAAGCTTCACTCATCTCCTGCTGCTAGGCCTCAGATACAGAATGGAGGAAATGACCCCCTCACAAGGACAGGCCCATTGTGGTCTCTAAGGATTGCACAGATAGCTCTGGCATGAGCAGACCTGCAATGGAAGCTAGTCAGTGGAGACCCACAAGCACACTACTTACATTTGTGTTTCTCTTGGATTTCACATAAGTGCTGATGCAGGAGGCGATTTCTTTGGACACGCACCTTTCATGGACAGTATATTTACAAACTGCAAGGGAGAGGAAGACAGAAGTCACCTCTAAACTCTCCACACAGCCACGTGGCACCCACCTTAGAGCTGCCTTGCAGCATGGGCAACGGAATGGAATGTCAGAGCCATGTGTCTTAGCATGAATGACAATTTACAGATGATGGACAATGTCAGGAAGACCGCACCGATTGATCAAAAGCTGCAAAAACGTAACATCAACACTGCAGCCTTACAGGAGATAAGGTTAGCCAACTCAGCCTCCATTCATGAAGCCAACTACACCTGTTTCTGGGAAGGCAGAAGTGCAGAAGATACTCGCCTACATGGGGTCAGATTTGCAGTTTGCAACAGGTTGCTCAAAACCATGGAGAACCCCACTGGGACATCAGATTGCATCATCTCACTCTGACTACAGCCAACTGACTATTTTGTTGACAACATTAGCGCCTATGCACCAACATTACAGGCAAGTTCAGATGATAAAGATAACTTCTACAATGCCCTGCATCAAGTCATTGAGCACCTACTATCAAATGAGAGGCTTCCCCTCCAAGGGGACTTTAATGCTCGAGTAGGCGTAGATCATGACTCTTGGCCAACCTGCTCGGGACATCATGGCATCAGAAAAATGTATGAAAATGCTGGGAGGATATGAATCCATGCACAGACTAGCATAAAACTGCTGAGAGGAGCAGAGGCAAAACAGTGTACAGGGCAGCTGTGACACATGGGGCCAGCTCAATCATGCAGCGGGTGCTGCAGTAGTGTTGTCATTCCCTCCCCCCCTCCCCCAAGTCAGTGCCCGGGAAGCTGCCCCAGATACCCTGCCCTAGTTATGCTACAGGGGAGGAGGGGCCACCAACAACCACAGGCACCACATAAGAGTGTGGGCTGCCTGCTGTCTCACGTGTCTGTGAGATGTCCGGCACCTCTAGGGAAACGTCAAGCATTATCCAACTCTGCTGACTCCCAGCCTGACCCAACAACACCACACCTGAAGCCAGAGGATTCAGAGGCACACAAACCTGCCTGAGATGTGCTCAACCATTGGAGGAACAAGTCCCTGTAATGATGGGATTAGGAGATCAAACAACCTTCAGGAAGACACCCCAGGGAGATGGAAGCAGTGCTCTTTTGCTGGCAGATGGGGGACCAGTACTGCATAAACAGCTAAAGCAGGCAGAGTTCAGAGCCCGGTGAAGACACTCCACGTGTCCCCCTTTGCCTGTCCTTGAGACCTCAGACTCCAGCTGCTTAACAGAAGCCACTGGGAAGGCCTCACTGGCTCATTTCCAGCATGGGTAGAGACACCTCCAAGTTAGATGGGTTTGCACTCCCTGTTAAACCTGCAATGTCCTTCTCCCCATCCTGGAGTGCCCTAACACCCCCTTCCCCCAACCCACCCAGTACAGCCCTTCCTGAGTGATATCTGTGTTTAGGACTGTGCATGAGGAAGCAGGCAGGTGAAGCATGCTGGAGCTCTCTGGGCCAGGACACACTGCTGCCATGACATAGACAAGCCCTGAATATCCCAGCTTCAGGGGTATGCATTAAATCCAGAAAGCCAGCAACATGTGGCTTCCTTTGTTTAAAGAATGGCCTCTGGCAGGCTGGCTCATCCAGCATGGTGGCAACTACGCTATACTGAAAGGGAGAGGCCAGGTCTGTGCCTCAGGACAAGGACAGGGGTCACATGCCGATGTGTGTGCAGGACTCACAGGAACAGCACAGGCCCTGCTTCCGGACTCCTAGGAGTATGGTGCGGCAGAAGTTGCAGTAGGCAGGTTTCTTGAAGTGCTTCAGTCTCCAGGCATGCTGCCCATCATCCTTCACATTCTGCAGGCAAAACACAGCAGCAGTCGGTCAGGGGAGGCCAAGAAGGAACCCCCAGTGGCCACTTCAAGGCCATTCAGGATGCCCCGATTGGAAATCACTGCTCTAACCCTTGTAACAACACAAGGGCAGCCAGGGTGTATTGGACCACAGGTTCATCTAGCCCTGTCTCCTGTATCTGACCAGGATGATGGCGGGGCTGTCTACCTCTCGCTCATCCATGCCTATCTTAGCTAGGATCCTATCCTGAGATAGGACTGAGAGTCAGTGGGTGCCAGGGTTCTCTGCTCGGTGTCCCCGTCTTGGAGCTCTAGTTATTATCCTATGACCTGCACTCCCATTTCTGTCTCTTTCTCTGTTGTCCCAAGGACTTAAGTGGCATTTAGTGGTCTCCCTCTAATTGAGGGAGACTTATGGCTTCCTGGTGGGCCTAGGCCCACTGTCTCTGTCCAGCAAATAGGCCTGTATCCAGCTGATAAGCAGTGGATGCTTTAGAGGAAGTATATTAAAAGCAAGGCATGTGTAGGGTGATCCAAGGGCAGTCAACCTGGCTGGCTTCTGTCTTCATTCTTCTCCCTTATGAAACCCAGGGCTGCTAAAATTCCTGCCTCTGGTAACCCCTAGGGCATGTCTCTCAGTCCGTTCACCTTTTCTGCTTTCTATGTGGCAGTGCTATTGCCTTTAAAACTCTCTGTGCTTCTTGGCTTATTCCTCTTCCACTTCCCGCTTCTTCCACTCATTCCACACACAAGGCTGCATGAAGCGAGGCAGGCATCAGCCGCACACCCTCATGGCCGGCCCAGCACAGGGGACTTGTCTCCACCTTACCGATCGACCCACTCAGAAAGACAGACTCCCAAGGGCCAGATTCCACTTTACTGATTAGGTGTGCGAGTATAGTCAGGTCAGACCAGGCCAGGTCTGCTACCATTATGACAGTAGATGTTACTACCTACAGCTGTCAATGCCAAGAGCTAGGCGGCAGGACATAGCTTAACAACCTCTATGGTCCTAATGGCATTGGATGGAGGAGCAACATAGAGCACGGTACTAGTACCCCGCTCTAGCGGGGTACCCTGGGTGGAGGAAATGGCACCAAAAGGAGGATTCCATGGCGGGGTGGACTGGGCTCTCCAGCCTTGGTTGGCAACTAATCTAGGAGTGGAGCCCCGAGAGGTGGATGGAAGGAAGATCTTCTTTGTACCAGCAGCTCCTGCAGCTAAGCTGGCTCCAAATGTATTGGCTTCTGTCTTTCCTTTGGGATCAACCAACTAGGCTAAGAGGGGGACATTGATATATGGGCAACTTCAGCATCTCCATATCAACTGTCCAGGCCACTGCAGTTAAAACTGAATAGAGAGGACACTCCATCTTTGCTACTTGTAGGGACACAATATGGAAGGGGGCAGTCATGGGTTGTAAGCTGAACTCAATTGGTGTAGAGTGCCACGCGTCACCTTCATCGGTGGGTGGAACCAACTGTGTTCCACTGGTCAGCTACTGCCCACCTTAAGCTGAGCAGAGCCCAGCCAGTAAGGTGCTGATCTGCTATGGTCTGCCTGCCTTATTTGGTGTGTAGGGCTAGACCAAAAGTTGAAAAACAGATGGCAAATCAAGTACCAGGCAACAAGAAAAGAAACCTTAAAACCTTCCAGCTGGGAAGCTGGAATGTCAAAACCATGTGTCTTAGCATGAATGACAATTTACAGATGATGGACAACGTCCGGAAGACCTCACTGATTGATCAAGGGCTGCAAAATCTTAACATCAACATTGCAGCCTTACAGGACACAAGATTCACCAACTCAGGCTCCATTCATGAAGCCAACTACACCTTTTTCTGGGAAGGCAGAAGTGCAGAAGATACTCACCTACATGGGGTCAGATTTGCAGTTTGCAACAGGTTGCTTAAAACCATGGAGAACCCCACTGGGACATCAGATTGCATCATCTCACTCTGACTACAGCCAACTGACTATTTTGTTGACAACATTAGTGCCTATGCACCAACATTACAGGCAAGTTCAGATGATAAAGATAACTTCTACAATGCCCTGCATCAAGTCATTGAGCACCTACTATCAAATGAGAGGCTTCCCTTCCAAGGGGACTTTAATGTTCGAGTAGACGTAGATCATGACTCTTGGCCAACCTGCCTGGGACATCATGGCATCAGAAAAATTAATGAAAATGGGTCTAACATCTTCTCAGACTCTGCACCTTAAACTACCTGTGTATCACTAACACCTACTTTTCAGGCAAAGAGCATCAAAAATTTTCAGGGAGACACCCACTATCTGGCCACTGGCACCTATTAGACCTCGTGATCACCAGGAGGAAAGACCTGCCAGTATACTACCCATCCGCACTTATCACAGTTTAGATTGTGATACAGACCACTCCCTTATTGTTAGCAAAGTGAAAGTGATACCAAAAAAGCTGTGTAGAGCCAAGCATAACAGCGAGTCAGCCAAGAATTCACAACACAAAAATTCAAAACAAGTGCCTTGACTTTCAAAGCACCTTTAAGTTAGCTACATCTACAAAAGCAATAACTGCAAATTCTGAAGGAGCTTGGAGTGGACTACGACCTTAAGCCAGGCACAATGGCTGCAGCGGCTCTTGCTTGTCTCTAGCTGGATAGGCAAGCATGAATGTATCCAATGCCCAGAGCAAAATGGGAGTATTCATTAGCTTGATTTTATCAACCCAAGAACTCCAGGCCTGCACCAAGCAGGCTGAGACAGAGAATGGACTGCTATATTTGGGGCTCAAGTCAAAAACCATTCCTTGGCTAAAGTTGCCGCTACCTGCCATTATATAACAGTATTAAAATGGCTCGCCCTGTTTTCCCAGGAAGACACCAATCTGGATGGACATCTGATGGTTGCAGTCATCCTAAAACAGAGTTCTATGGGGATTGTGTTGCAAATCAGTGAAGATGTGCGTTCTTAAGATATCATTTTGATCCAAAGCACATCTCTGTGTGAAACCAAATTCATCTCTGACCTAGGCTTCACTTCAATAACGATAATGGCATGGAATGGAAAAGGGCAGTACCACTCCATGCATCTGTTTCAGATCCCACCCAGTGTCCACAAAGTGGATCCTGCTGGTGTGTGCTGTGGGGTGGGACACTGACTGTGAACCTCTTGCCACCCTGATTCATCATAGGGTTTGCCCCTCTCTCACAAGAAGCTTTAAAGTCCAAGGCCAAGGTTCAGTGTTGAGCCTTTAGAAAGTTCAGCAAACAGAGTCCAGTCCATGGGGACAGTGTGAGAACATCAGACTGGAAGGAGCCTTCATTTCTGAGCCATCAGCTCCAGTCCCCTGCATTTACAGGCAATTGTTCATGCATGGAATCCCCAAAATGGCCACTTCAGCTTCTCACCCACAAGATCAGGGCACAATACTCAGAATGCTAGGAACAGCACATAACAGACTGTAGGAAAAGCAGGGGAGATGAGGGCACTGCCAGTCCATTAATGCATCTCATTTTGTAAGACACCATCATCTTATCCCTAAGCTTAAAAAAGCAGCAAAGAAGTGGAGGACCCAAACACCTTCTTCATTAACAGCTTTTCAGGACTTCAAGCACGATGGAATAGGGTCACGCTTTCATACTTGCATCCACTTACACATTTAATAGGTGAAATAGAGCCTGGCCCTGACATCTGGCTTCCTCAAAGGGAAAAGCATGAGTGGGTAGGGTGTTTTTTTTTCACAGCTGTGCTCCCTTGCACCACCTGATGCAGAGTAGGTGTGCCATGAGCCCTAAAGCTCTGAGATTTGCTGCCCTGTGCACTGCTCAGTCCAAAGAACCCCACTGGGTGCTAGCACTTACTCGACAGAGTGAATCTGGCCAGCAGTGGAAATTCACAGCATCTACAAGCATATATGTAAACCTACACTACCGTGCAATCAATACCCTCATGACACATAACAAGTTGTTCATTCATAAAACTTCACAAGCTCAAAGACCATTGAGGGCCAAGCCCAGATCCTAATGACTTCAGTAGGAAAACTTATTCTGACTTCATTGGGTCCCCTTTGGATCAAGCAGATATGTCCATAACAGAACTAACCCAGAAAGGATGTGGACAAATTGGAGAAAGTCCAACAGAAGGAAACAAAAATGGTTTGAGGTCTGGGGCACATGGCTAAGGCACATGTGAGGCAAGGTTGAGGGAACTGGGCTTATTTAATCTGAAGCAGAGGAGACGGAGGGGGGACTGAATCACAGCCTTCAACTCCCTGCAGGGTGGTTCCAAAGAGGATGCAGCTAAGCTGTTCTTAGAGGTGACAGACGACAGAACAAGGAGCAGTGGGCTTAAGTTGCAGCAAGGGAAATTGAGGTTAGATATTAGGACAAACTTTCTCACTAGCAGGGTAGTAAAACACTGAAATAGATTACCCAGAGAGGTGGTGGAATCTCCATCCTTGGAGGTTTTTAAGACCCAGCTAGACAAAGCCTTGGCTGGATGATCTAGTTGGGGCTGGTCCTGCTTTGAGCAGGGGGTTGAACTAGATGCGACCTCCTGAGGTCCCTTCCAGCCCTCATTTTCTACGATTTTAAGGATGAATGGGCACTGCCAATCAGCTGCGGTGCCAGTGAGTGATGAAGAAACATGCAGCAGTGGGGACTTTACTGATTTCCTTAGGCCAAAGCACTTGGAGCCAGATCCCATTGCACCTATTAGATGTTTAAGTGGATTCAGCTGCATAAATGGGATGCTATTCCACTCTGCCCAAGTCCCTCAGAAATGATGAATGCAAAAGGCAAGAGTGTCCTGCCTGCTTTCTGTGACTTAGTCTTATGGCAAAGGTGAGCATGCCACAAAAGTAGCCAGGTTAACAGTTTCAGGGACTTGAGAAGGGTAGAATAAGTTTACCCTTAGGTGTCTAAGATCTTTTACAGGAGGAGGGTTATTTATGAGTATATTTTAATACTGAGCACTGAAGTTGTCCCATCAGCACCAGGAGAGCTAGTGCACTCAGAGTAG